TTATATTTGGTACTGGGGATTGAACTCACTTGACAGGCAGGTGTTTATGCCACTGAGCTATCTCCCTGGCCCACAATCACCAATTTATTATCAAGAAATTTTTCATTAGATGTTTATCAGGGATGTGATTTTGATTGTTTTCTACTTTGGGTGTAAGGCTCAAGTTACAAGTTCCAGGCCAGCTTTAACTACATTGTGAGACTTTGACTGAAAGACACAAGAAAATCTGCCTTTGTTACTCCTTCACATGAGTTCCTTTTTCCCTTCACCCTTTTTTCCCTTGCCCTTCACTCTATTCCTGCTACATTCTGTGACCTTCAATAAATATAGCAACTTACTATAAAACAAAGATACTGGGGGCCGGGAAGATGGCTCAGTGGAATAAGTGCTTGCTTGGGGCTTAAATTCAATCCTCGGTTCCGAGAGAAAAAAAAAAAAAAAAGATAAAGAAAAAAAGTGCATGCTCACGCGTGCACACACACACACATACACACACAAAATCAAGATTCAGTTTAACATAACAGGTTCTAAGATTTTTGTTGTTGTTTTCCGGCTTCGTTTGAACTAGAAATGCCAAATCAAAGTATATTTGTGTATTTCATATACAAATTCTCTAATAAACACTTGTGATTTACTTATATTATGTGAAGTTACATAAAGTTGGCCACTACCTCTTGGAAATCCAAGAAACTAGATGTAATTTTCCTAAGTGATCTGTATCTAGTGAAGTGAGTTTAGCTCAGCGGAGTCCTTCCTCCTGGAGATAGTCAAGGATCATCTAGGAGAATGGTAGGCAACATGGATGGAACTGCGGGGACTCTGGCCTGCCCCACAGACCACAGAGGCCAGTGGCCATCTTGTCGGACACCAGGCTGATTGCTTCCATCCAGCTGTGTGCAGATGAACTTGTGAGAAGGATGTGATCAATCAGGAAGAGCCTTGCGGGCACCACATATGGAAGTGATTCCAACAACCACCAGCTAATTAAAGGTAGGCGAGGCAGGCTGTGAGAGTTGAGGGGAAGTGGCAGTAGGAGACCAATATGCTGTGTTGGTGGTCTTGTAGGGGGAAGGTACCAGAGCAAGCAGGCAGTGATAGGAGTACAAGGTGTTGGCATTGGACAGGTCTTGCGTAGGACCATGGGAACAAATGAGACCACAAGATTCCTACCAAGAGGCCAGTATGTCATGAATATCCCTGAGGACAGCAGAGAGCTGGATAAAATTAACAGTGAGGCAGGAAAGGAAATCTTCAAGGAATAGTCTTTCAGTGCCTTCCGCAGGCCTGGGGAGATGACCATCACCATGAAGGTGGAAGCAAGGTGAATGTTCCAGAAGCAGCCATGAATAGTGGGAAGACACTAGCCCCATCTTCGGCCTTCAGTATCCACAAAATGCCTGAAAGATTTCAGCATCCTGAGATAATAATGAGGGAAAGATTTCATTAGAGCTGCCATATCCAACATGGAGCCACCCACTCCTGCTTCTGAACACTTGGGATGTGGCTTGTGTTACTGAGGAACTGAATTTTTAGTTGAGCCTAACTGAAATTAGGACTGAATCTGCATCATATTATTAGCTTTCCATTACTGCCACAAATACCTGAGGCAATCAACTTACAAGGACAGATTTTGCCATTTCAGGTTTCCATCTATGGTGATTGGGTTCCATTACTTCTGGGCCCATGGGAAGCAGCACAGCATGGCAGGGAGCACAAGGCACAAAGAGCTGCTCTGGTCAGGGCAGCAAAGAGAGGAGAGGTAGGAGTGGGCCCTTTCCCTTCATGGCCCGGCCCTCATTGGCCACAAGATTTCCCAACAGGCCTCAACTCTTAAAGGTCCCACCACCTCTCAGCAGTGCCAAGCCAGTGACCAAGCTTTTGCACATGGGCCTTTGGGGAAACACTGCAGAACTAAACTAGAGCAGATTTTTGTTAACCAGTTTTATTGGTTTGGTAGGACATTTTACTTTCCTCTCTGGAAATTTAAACTAGGATGTGTTTTATGTATAAAAATACAGATTTCAAAGTTTCAATACTGGAAAAGTGGGGATATAAAGTGTCATGCTCCATACAGAACACCATGCCCCATAGCCCTTGGCTCCCGGAAGTTAAGCTGTATCCAGGCCTCCTCAGATGGAGGTGAGCACACTGGCCTCTGCATGACACAGCCACACCCTCAAATTCCTTCAGGCAGCAAACTCCTCCCCTTCCCCTTAAAGTCTTTGTTTCACTTTCACTTCCTGCTGATTCCCTCTCCTCTTTGTGCTTTTAACATAAAATCTCATTAACATGTTTGTGCTTTTGGCATAATGAAGTATATAGAGTTACATAAAATATATTATTAAAAACTTCATCCCCTGTAGCTGGGTGTGGTGATTCATGGCTCTTACTCCAGCACTCCAGGAGACTGAGGCTGGAAGACTGCAAGCAGCAGCATGACTGGGCCAGGGGCTCCCACTGGGATAGGTGAGGCTTGAGACAGGGTCTAGCTATGCAGTTTAGGCTGGGCTTGAGTTCACTATGTAGCCCAGGCTGGTCTCGAATTTGCAAAGATCCTCCTGCATCAGCCTCCCTCCCGAGAGCTGAGGTTACAGGTGTGCACCAACATGTTTGGCCTTAACAAATTTTTTTAAGATGAGGTTTTTGCTGAATTGCCCAGGCTTGACTCAAACTTCCAATTGTCCTGTCTCAGCATCCCAAGCAGCTGACATTGGGGGAGGGGTATCTGTCCCAGATGTCCTTTCTTCTGTCAATAACCAGATCATGTACCAGGTTCACACCAATGTTTGACATTCCGAACGGAGGCAGTCAGAAGGCCAGCAGAGGCTGGAAGAGGGAATAAAAGAGACAAAACCACAATTGAGTGCTAAACACACACAAGAAAACAATGTTAAGAGCAAATAAAAATGATTACAGAGATGGGTATTCCATTGCCACTTAAATATGGTAAGTACATGAATTCAGCAAAATATTCCAATATAGTCTGGTAGTCCATAATAGTAGTGGGTTATCCATAGGACTGGCAATGTCAGAAGTTGTTGACTTGAGCCTTTTACAGCTCAGCATATTAATATGACTTTTTTATACCTCATTTTTATACTTTTCTGCTGGATGTTTAAGACCAAGATAAAGCAAGACTGTATAACAAGAAATGTAACTTTTGTATCTTCTCTGACAAAACTAAACAAAAAAGGGGGACACAAATAAGAGACCATTTTGTATCTGTACATTCAAAATAGGATAGATATACAGCTACTTTCTCTTAATTCAATGAATAGAAAGATTTGTACTGATAGTGTTTGGACAGGATATCATATCGGCATCTCGTACTATGAATAACCACTAAGAAGACAACAATATGCAATGTATTAATTATTGAAACTGTCCTACTAATCGGTTTTGAAACTATCTCATTGCTATTTCTCAATAAATTTTTTAAAAAATGATTACAACAGGAATTAATTTCAAGACAACCTAAAAAGGACCACAAATAATTTGACAGGATTCAAAGACAGAAGTTAATTTCCATTAATAAGAGAAATGCAACTATTAAAAACTGAAATCAGATGGACATGGAAAGATAATTAGAAAATTTGAAAGCAAAACATTTAATCAGCCTATATTGATTTACTTGGGTTTTTCTGAGGCAGGGTCCCATTTATGTAATTCAGGCTGGCGTCCTGTGATCCTGCTTGCAGCCTCTAGACTACTGAGCTTAAAAACATGTGCCACCACACCTGGCCCAACTTTCCTTGTTTTTAAACACTCACCTTTCTTATTATTTCCCTTCTTTAAAATCAGTAACAAAGCAGTATCTCTTAAAAGACATTAAGCCTCTAGCCGGCACTCATTATTTTCTCCACGACCCAGAACACTACATGACCACAAGCTGAACCAGGTTTGCACTGAATGTGACTCATGGCTGCTTTCCCAGCTGTCCTGACCACTATCCCACTCTAAAAAGGCTCTCGAGAGCTTGTGAATGGTTCCAACTCATAACCTGTCTTCTCCTCCAAAACATACCGCGTGGCATAGTTCTAACAACGTGTTCAACTTACCTCTCAATCTCTATAAGCCAAAAATTTATACTGTATTTGAATGAATGTCCAATCATGAGTGCCAAAATAACAGTCCCTTTATTGTACCTTACTTTATAACCCCACAGTATAGGATCTAAACTGAAGACACAAAGGAATAAATCAATTATATCCAAGTCTAAATTAACACAACTCCATTATAACCCCAGAATGGCAAACCTCCACTACTATGAGAAACACAATCCAGCAGAGCTGTCAACAGAAAGAGCAGAGGTAGACAAGGCAATGATTGTCCCTGACTGATGAGATGGCTGTGCCACAGGTCACAGCAGTGCTACTCGAGTTGGTTAATTCATCACCACTAATCCACAACCTGCAGGACTCATGAATATTGCACTGCCCCAGAAAGGGGCAACCAACTCAGGGGCAAAGCTGGACCTTATCTTCACCTTGACAGTGAGTGATGGCTTAAGTCATTATTTCTGTCATTTTCTTCATCACGGAGCAGAAAACTGGTTAAAGGGATTCACCAAATGTGACTCCAAGTTCTGAGAGAACCCTGGGTGAGAACACAAGGCACACACACGTGCACACAACTCTCCACAACACAGCCAAGCACACTGCACAAAACACTGAAACAATGTTAGGAAACTAGGCTTGTTGCCACCAGTTTATTTATCTGGTCCACAACTAAGGACAGAGCATTAGAGCAGTGTTAGAATGCAAAGTGGAGCCTGCCCTTATGGGCTCACAATCTTATCAGAGAAATAATCTGTTACAGAAGAGAGGTTGTTAAAAAGCTCATGCCAGCAAGAGCTGCAAGACTGCAAAGGCAGCTGAGTTTACAAATATGAGATGACAGACTAGAAGTCATGTCCAGATCAGTATGTGGGACGACTGCTCCAAATTTATTACTCCAGCTGGAGAAGTGGTGTGATTTAGAGGCCATCTGCAATGGTTCCCGTCATAATTCAAATCGAAAAGCAGAGGCAAGTTTTGCTGAGGAGGTGGCACTGAGCAAGCAGGACACAGACAGAAGTCAGAGAAGGCTTTTTAGACAAGAAAAGCAACATGAGGTAGGCAGAAGCATGGAGTTTGGAGGGGAGTGGAGCCAGGTGTCACATGAATCGTGGCATAAGGTAAGTAGGTGGCAGGAAGCCAGCTGCGGTGGCCCTCAGGCAGCACCCACACAGGGGTGAGCAGTGGGGCTCACGCGCACGTCCAGCAGCTACAGTACATGATCCCAGAGTGAAAATACCACAAAACAATAGTGGAATTTTACCACGTTTCACTCTTTCTACAAAATGTAAAATAATATCATAGCTGTACAATTCAAAACGGACACCAACAAGCCATCCCAATCCTGAAAGTGGGAATCAGCTCCAAGTTTACATTCAGAGTAGATATAACAAAGTCTCTTAATTCTGAAGGACATTTGCTACAAACTCTATTATCCCAATGATTCCAGCATTTCTTCTCTAATCTGCTCCAAACACTGGAAATGAGTCCATAGAGGAGCCACAGCCTGGTAGGCGACAGCCACCCCACACGGCCAACTGGGTGGTACTGGGAGGAATGGCAAGTCCAGCATATGTCAGGCTATCATGGGTAGAAAGACGGAGCTACCCTTCTGAGGAACTTCTCCTAGGGCTGGAGGAGACAGGTAGCTCCTAAGGACAGTGGGTGGGGCAGCCAAGGCTTCCAGGCCACAGGCACAAAAGGTAGTGTGGGTGTCTAGGAGGGAGCTAGTGACACACACACACAGACTTACTTTCACTTAAATGGCTTAAATCCTCCACTATACTGGTGTTAAGCGAGGAAGAGATAGGAAAGCAAGCAAGCACCTGAGGTCTGTCAGCAGCCAAAGCAGTTACTGGAGGTCCTGCTCAACAGGAAGCACCCCTCTACCTCACCTCCTCTCCCTGTCTGTTCACTTCCCTTACAATCTGCTTGCCCTCTGCCTCAGAGTCCTCATAATGGAGCTGGGAGTGGAAGCGGGGACCAGGGAGAAACAAAACTGGAAATGCACACAGTTCAGTTCATCAAGTTACCATAGAGAATGTGCTGTGTCTGCAGGTTAAGAACAGTCTTTTGCAGTTTCCGGGCCGGGGAGATGGCTCAGCAGAATAAGCGCTTGCAGTTTCCTAAAAGTGCCCATCTCGTATCAAAATGTTAAACATCTCATTTGATGTGGGAAAAGTACAGAAAACTTGTAGAAGACTTCATTTCTCGAACTATTTTTCCCTAAACATCAATGTTACAAACACTATAGGATTTCAGACTCTTATCTTCACAAAATTAAGATCTGACCCAAATTGCATTGCTTAGCTTAAAAATGAGATACAACATGTAATTTCAAGTCTTAGGTTCTTAGCTACTACCAAAGCATGACAACAGAGGATAAATGAACTACTTCAGGAAGAATACAGAGGAAAAGGTAGACACAAGTAAGGCAGTCTTTCGGGTCAGCACTAAAGTTCCATTTTTCATAACAACATTATAAAATCATTCTACAAAAGTAACACCTTCTTGAAATTTCATTTTATCATGAATAAAATATATAAATCTGATTAACATTCATTCTTAAGTTAGTTATATCAATAAAATCTGCTTCTATGAAACCTTAGCATAATCTTAAAACCATGCATATACATACATTTAGTAAGATATTCTACATTCCTAATTACATGCACGATATATATTAACCAATAAAGAATACCAATATGAGAATTCAGAACATTTATTTTTTTTGCATGGAGACTTTACTGTACAACACACACACACACACAAACCAAACCCACAAAGGGACGATGTGTAATAGGTAGTGAGACACACTAAGTAAGCGTATTTTAAATGCCTATAAACAGGCTGTTTTAGGCAATCAAACACTGTTAGTCCTTGCCATCTTTTCACGCTCATCTAGCACCAGATACAAGGACTACACAGTAGAGTGTACAATCTCATGCTTAAAGCCTAAAGCATGCGTCAAATTGGATTTATACACTGTACTCTATTCTACTAATAATACAATACATACTTCTTGCTAATAGTTTGTATGTTAAATTACCCTGCAGCATTTTGAAATTTTAACATTTATGTGAAACAACTCTTGAAAGATTTATGAAACAAGTTCCAAAATGCACCTCTAGGCTGGTTTGGTTAAGTGAAAAAATGGCAACAGCCTCAAGGCTCAGACAATGAAAACAGTTTGTGGGCATGTCAATTATGTGAAAAAAAAAAAAAAAATAGAAAAAAAAATCACAAAAGAAAAAAACACCTATATACACAGATGGCATGAAGGGTTGTGCAGTTGGAATCACCAGTGCAAATGCATGCATTTGAGGTACTTATTTTCTCCATGGTCAGGTATAACTACGCATAGTCATTTTCCTTAAGGGCTAAAGATTTGAGACCTGATCAAATGAAAAGCTAAGAAGTGTAAATATTGTGTTTATATAGTTAACTTCAAAGTTCTATGCTTTTAATGTGGGTTTAACATTATGGGCTTATATATTTAAAGATATTTACCAACCAGTAAGTTTTTTCACTGTACAGAGACTGACTGGCAATTATACCTGGCCAAATGATTTAAATAGCATACATGAAATTCTTGCAAGAACTGTAGTGAAGAATAAAATACTTCATTATTGCTTCATTGGACTGAGAACCCAAAAGGCAGAGACAAACAATGCTCAGTGATGAAAAGTGAACACCCAGAACAGCAGTGCGTGCCCTGAACGGTTTAAGTACTCTCCAAATTATCGAGGCCATTGGCATCCACGTGGCTGTCAGGATCCCCGCACAGGGAGGAGGGCGCAAAGCGGCTAACAGTGGGACACAAGCAGCTTTTAAGCTCTGGTAATTCTTGCTTCAGGCGCTCCAATTGCTCCACTTGGAATATATTTGGCTGTTCAGGCATCCAATCATATATCCTATGATAAAACAAATACAAAATACATAAAATAGTATAATTTTATGGCATACTTTAGATCTGATGTTTTCATGATAATTCCTTCACAAAACGCCTGAATAATCCAAATTATAGCGTTTAGCCAGGCGTGGTGTTGCACACCTGTCATATCAGCACTCAGGAGGCTGAGGCAGGAGTACTGTTGAGAGTTAAGACCAGTGGGGGGGGGGGGTGCGGCCGAGAATACAGCTCAGAAGCATAAGTGCCTGCCTGGCAAGTGCAGTGTCCAGAGTTCAATCCCTGGTACAGCAAAAAAAGAAAAAAAAGAAAAAAAAAAAAAAAACAAGACCAGCCTGGGCCACAAACTGAGTTTAAGGCCAGCCTAAGCTGCATAGTGAGACACTGTCTCAAAAAGACACATAATATAGAACTTGTGTTTTCTCTTAAAGATGTAGAAATTTTTACAAAATGTAGAAATACCTATAAAACACTAATGGAAAGATTTATAATGCAGAATCTGTGTCCAGCCTTGAAATTTCTGGATACCTAACAGCTAAAAGCACTTACTTTCCATGTCTTTCTTGTTCAGGAAATGCAAAAGTATGTGTTCAGTATCAGTGACAGTGATAAAAGATCAAAAAAGATTTCGGCGATAGGAAGCAGGAGGCGGCACACAGGAATGCCAGCAAGCAGTGGTCTGTAAGCTGGGCCTGAGCCACAGAGGCAGAGACATCCTGGTGAAAAGGAGGCAAATCAGGGGTTTTCCTGACGGGCACTGAAACCACAGCCCTGTACTATCACACAATGTGCTCTGGGGAGCTTGAGCGGGAGTCTTCTTTACACATGGTGTCTGAACCATGTACTGATGCAACTACTACACACTCAATAGGATTATTCCTGAGAACTGGGGCAAGCTGCACTGAAACACAGAACAGCCCATGTCAAATGGCCACCAATAGTCCTGTTATGCATATGCATCTAATGCCTGAACCATTGGCTGGAGCCTAAATGCACCAAGCTAGAGACCTGGTGGGTCACAAAATCAGTTTATACAGTTAAGATTCACATTTAATAAGTAAATACACATTAATAGAAAATATTCAAGTAGCATTATTTTTAATATCCTGTTTCAGTATATATCTGTATAAGTACATATCTATATGTATACTGCATAGCAATACAAAACAAGATTGCCCTGGAAACTTCATGTAACACTGAGC